TTGCTCACTCGACTAATAAGCCTACAAGCTATATCATCTCGAGTTTGAGCAAACATTCACTTGACCATTAAGCCTACAAGCTACATTACTTCGAGTTCGAATCACTCACTCGACCATCAAGCCTACGAGCTACATTACTTCAGGTTCAAGCAATCACTCAACTCAACTACTAAGCCTATGGGCTACCTTATTTCGAGTTTGAGCAAGCACTCACTCGGTCATAAAGGCTACAAGACCCAAATTTGATTAAATTGCCTAAAGCCTTATGAAAACCTTCATAAGGCATGAATGAAACAAAATCTTCTCAAGGCAGAGAATAAAACGGAGGCGCGTCAGGAAAAGAAAAGATCTTTATATATACAAGAATATTTACAATGTCCGAACAGGACGCTGCACAAAAAAACCAAAATGTAAACTAAGGGCTAAGTTTCTTGGTTATCTACGGGGGCAGTCTCTTCTCCATCGGGCTCCTCCCCGCTCTCGGACCCACTTTTTCTCCCATCATCGCCATCATCATCATCATCATCGATAGCCAAGGCTTCAGCATCAGCTTCAAGCTCTTTAGCTCTTTTTTATCTCTTCGGTGAGATCGAAATCTCGAGCATGGATCTCTTCGAGGGTCTCCCTCCGAGATTGGCATTTAGCAAGTTCAGCAACCCAATGTGCTCGAGTGTTGGCGATCTCGGCTGCCTCTCTTGCTTGTACCTGAGCAGCTTCAGCATCCGCCCGATAAACGGCCACTAATGCATTCGCATAGGACTTTGCTTTTTCGGCATCAGATTTGGCCTTGACAAGTTTGGAGGTCAACCGAGCCTCGAGTTCCTCTATTCTTCTCGCTTGAATCGAGCTCTTCTCCTTCATGCCTTGAAGTTGGCTTGTAGTCGATGACAATTGGGCCCGAACAGTTTCCTTTTCTGCAGCAAGACGGTCCATGCCATCTTTCCATCCCATGGTCTCCGCCCTTATTATATTATCTTCCTCACGAAGTTGCCCGATCATCTCGAGTTTCTGCTGCAGCTGTGAGATTGAAATATTAGCCTCCAATCCTGAATCAAGCCCATGAGTTCTTAATATTATCATTACCTGCTTGGTCAAGTCAATCTGGTCTTGATGAGCCCTGGCCAACTCAGCTCGAAGGCCTTTGATTTCTTCTTCTCTTTGACCGGAAAGGAGTCTGAGGGCGTTCCTCTCCTTTCGTAACTCGTCGGAGGTCGGCCTCGAATCGATGCAGCTCAGCTCGAGACCGAGAACATGCTTCTCGATGAACGGCCACGGCCTACGAAAAAAGAAGAAAAGAAGTTAGAAAAGAATAGCAAACATAAAAGTAATATCAACGAAGAGAGTTAAAGCTTACCTGATTCAGAGCTTGCTGCACTTCGCAGAAAAGGCCCGACACATCACTAGGGACAGCAGCGTCCTCAACCCCAGTAAACAAATCACTGAAGGGGTCCTCCCCTTCATGAGACCGGCTCATCTCGAGGGCCCCCAAATCTTGGGCTTCCTGAATCGCCCTTTCGGAAAAGGCAGGGAAAGTGTGCAAGTCTCCGATTACTATTGCCCCAAGCGAATCGCTTGGGGTGTTCTCCTCAGTTCGGAGAGCTTCAGGACCGGCCCCTTCCGATATACCCACCGTTTGTTGACTTCGGTGGGAAGCATCCTCGATCTCTAATGATTTGGGGACTCTGCCCGAACCTTCCTCCGATATCTCCTCAGTCTGAGGAGGAGCTTTATAAATCACCATCGATTCAGCTGCCTTTAGGGCATCGATGGATTTCTTCATTCGGGCCACCAGCACGGACTCGTCGTTTTCTTCTTCTTCTTCTTCTTCCCTTAGACGCAGAACTAATTCTACGGTCAAAGGAATGGTATTCTTCCTTGGCTTTCGAGCCATCCTCGTCTTCGATTTTGGATCTTCGGAGTCGGAGGCCCTTTTTCTCTTATTATCCTTCACTGGCTTTGGATCAGAGGCCGAAGCCTCTTCTTCGACGGATGAGGGCCTCAAAACCGCATCTTTACCCACACCTACATACATGAAAATTGATTTAAATAATGGAAAGCATCTCGTTCGAACTACCAAAGATACGAAAAAGAGGCTTACCATGATTTTTGGCCTCCCATCGGCCCTTTGACAAATCACGCCACAAGCGCTCGGCGTATGTGGAGGTCGAAGCTAGATCCCGTACCCAGTTCTTGAGATCGGGGACTGCACCGGGCATCCAAGGAACGACTGCATCACAAAAAGGGGGATATCAGTGAGAAAAGGAATGAAGGGGCAAAATAGTAGAAGATAACAACAGAATTACACTTACGCTTCATGTTCCACTTCTCGGGAAAAGGCATCTTTTCAGTCGGAATCAGGTCCGAAGTCTTTACTCGAATGAACCTGCCCATCCAGCCTCGATCCTTGTCCTCATCTATACTCGAGAACAGGACCTTGGTAGCCCGACGCTGAACTTTTATTAATCCGCCTCGAAAGAGATGAGGGCAGTACAATCAGATGAGATGATCGAGGGTGAAAGGCATCCCCTCGATTTTGTTCACGAAGTAACAGATCAAAATAACGATCCGCCAAAAAAAAGGATGGATCTGGCCTAGGGTTATTTGGTATTGACGGCCGAAATCAATAATAACAGGGTCGAGGGGAGCTAACGTGAAAGGGTAAGTATACACACTTAAAAACCCTTTCACATAAGTGGTGATATCTTCTTCAGAAGACGGGATTACTATTTTTTTGTTCTCCCGATTGCAATCTTTCTTTAGTTGTTCGAGGTGCCTCTCGGTTATCGAACACATATACCTCGATACTGGCTCACATGGGCCGAGAATCGACGAGCCTTTGTCGACCTTAAAATCAGACGTAAGAACACACACCCCAGGAACGCATTCCTCAGGCCGTGGCTCCACCGGTGTTTTGTCAGCGGCAGGCTGTGAAGAAGAAGCTTTTTCTTTCTGAGGAATGGTTTTTGATGCTTTCGCCATTTTTGGATTAAAAGATCGAGAATAGAAGGAGGTAATAAAGATTTGGTGTTTTTGATGAAAGATTTTGCAGAGAAGAATCACAGATTTGCGAGTAAATTCAGAAAGTGTGAGAAGAAGTTAGAAAATTTAGAGTTTGAAGATGTAAAAGTGATTAAAAGCGAAAAAATCGGTCATTTATAGGTATAGCAATGGCGGTTCAGTTTCGATAATGGCCGACCACCGTCTGACACGCATTAAATGCCTTGAAAAACTAAACCGACGGGGACAACTATCACGTCCGTCATGATCGAGCCCAATGTAAACGTTAGCTTTTATCTGATCAAGCCGTTGGGAAATCATGTCGTTTCTCGCTACATTCTTCCCCAGAAACGAGGGGACTATCTGTATACGATAAAAATCGGTTAGTTTTTCGTACGAACTGGTTGAAATGGTAATGCATTGGATCGGAGAAACGTCTTCATAATATCAGGTTGAGGTCCGAAGTCAGGTCACCAAGCTTCGAGCCCTAGGGACCGATCAATGTCGAGCTCGATATCATTATCGAGCTCGAATCCAAATAGAACTATGATGCAAAGTGAAGTTATCGAGCTTATGAGGCAGAGACCGACCAACACTGACCCCGAATCAATACAAGGATCCGAGTCAGAATCGAGCTCGAGTCAAGATCGAGAGCTCGAGTCGATACCAAGCTCGAGTCAGTATCGAGCTCATAGACAAGAGTCGTTGCAATCCCACTAGAGGAGAGAATCGTGACAGGAATTATGGAAAAACTGATTTATCATGGGTCTCCCACTATGTATTTTTAATTATATCTAAAGTAGGATCTCTCCACTATAAATGAGATGATTATTATTTCTGTAAGGACCAAGTTTTTGCATACATTGTAACTGAGATATCATACACTCTTATATTGAAGAGTTATCCTTTTTTAGCTTCATAAATAGATTCATCTTGCTTAATCTATAAACCATCTTCTTCCCAACTTCGCTTATTTTTCATTCTCTACCGTCAGCACTTGATATTTCTATTCATTCTTACGATTTGTGTTAAGTTATACCACGTACCCTTAGAACTACGTACAAATTTAACTCAATCCGTTTTTTCGGGTAAACACAGTTATTCGTGCTGAGGCAGAATCTCTTTCTTCTCCATTGCACTACCAGCAATTGCTGTCAAGTTTTGCTGACTAGATTGAGTATTAAACAGACCCTTGTTAATTAAAACTTATAAACTAGTTTTGTTTTTGAAAAAGTTTGATTTTTGTTCATCCTTGTAAAAGAGTGTGAAAGTATTAATTAAGCCAGCAAACTTCAGAAGAACTTCCGGCGAACAACGGCCATCTTGGTGTGTTGTTATTGAAACAAAATAAACTGTTTCCGACAAAACTTTTCGGCGAACAATAAGAAGTGCAGCTATTCCATATGAACCAAATTGAACTCAGACAAAAGATTGAGTGCGAACAACGGCGTAGGAACATTTCTCCACTATTCACTGCCTTCTTCCTCCTCACCCCCCTGCTGCACCTTAACTTTCGGTGGGGATCAACAAATGAAAAAATAGGAAAAGTATATTTTACCCCTAAATCTGATTAGAGAAGAGTCATTGCTACTTGTCTCCTTATTTCCGCCCATATATTATAGTGAAGATTTGAATTTGGGGTGTAATGGAGGAGAATGAGATGGAAGAAACCGGGAAATGTTTGGAGGGAATTGAGAAATTTAGGGGAAAGACCAAAAAGTCCCTGAAAGTCTTTTATTTTAATGAAGTGGCAGGAGTGTTTTAGTGAAACACAAAATGAGTACAATGCTAACCTACTTACTACCTTCATGTAGTATGTTAGCAAGACCCCCCCCAAGACCCCCCCACATATATATATATATATATATATATAGTTTTAATTTGGGGTGGAGATACTCTTTTCACAAGAAGTTGCTCATGAATTGTTAGATTGCGAGTACTATGAGGTTTAATTGATCATTCAATTGCAGAAATGTAAGGGAAGTTAGGCCTGATTACAAAGATTAAGCAAGCAAACGAAATATAGAGACTTATTTACAAATACATGGAGATTTAACTAAGGAGCATAAAAAAGATGAACAGAAGAGAAACTCAAACATGTCCCTTGGATTGGAATGATACAGAGAAGAGAAACTCAAACACAAGCCAAAGTCTCAACATGTTTGTAAACTCAAAGCCGTCATAGCGAGCCCCATCAATGAAAAGCCTGAAACTAGCAGGCTTAACATCCGCTAGCTCTTCAATCACTCCATCGTTCATGTCGTACAAAATGATTTTACCAGGAATTGATAACAATAGCCTTGCCTTATCTTTCTCATCATCATGAAAACAAATCATCGAAAACACGTTCGTATAGGCATATTCTTCTGGTGGATTCGTTTCTTGATTCACCATAACAGGGTGCAAATTAGGTAAAAACTCCAAGTTAACATGGTACTTAACAAACCACCCAGAGTAGTTAACTTCCAGTTCCAAAATATCAAATTCTGTACTTTGATTATCATTATGATGAATAAGATGCAAGTGCCCTCCACATTCCCCAAAGTATTCAATATTTCTGTGCCACTGTTCTTCAGGAATTGGAGGAGTAGGCATTTGTCTGAAGCTACAATTTCCAACTTCAAAGCACAAAAAGGGGCCTGTTTGACTAACCCAATGAACAGCTCCATTCCAAAAAACACCATAATAGAAACATAAATCCGCGCCTCCATATTCATCACAATCATAATATTCATTAGATTGCCTCCAATTTCCAGAACCTGATGAATATACCGAGAACCGAAGTTGATTCTCAGGCACAGACAACCAAAGACAGACAACATCGTAATCACCCGACTTTTCAGAATCAAAAGCTAAATTCATAGTTCTTACTAAGTTGGGTTCGTTGATTGTTTCTGGTAGTGGAATAAACCTATATTTACCAGTGGTGAGATTGTAAATGTAAAACTCCCTCTTCCCATCATTCAATTTAAAATCAAAGCAAAATAGTCCGTTGCAAGAATTCAACCATAAAATATTTTACCATCACGTATACTGGAGAATCTTTCATTCATCATACTCATTGTGGAGAAATCTTCCTCCTGCAAAGAAAGAAAATTGTAAGCGGGGTTTCGGCACAAGAACAAACCAATAATGGAGGCAGAGGACCTAGCATTCATACGAGTGTGAAGGCGACGAAATTGGGGACTGCTAATAATGGAAAGCCAGTGTTTTGAGACTGTCTGGAAACGAAGTAGAGATTTTGGGGGCAAGTGCAGTAATAATTCAGTTAAGAGATCTTCATTGCTGGCGATGTGTTGAGCAGATTCTGATGAAGGGGCTTCTAATTTAATAGAGATTTCGCTTGATTCTGATAATGACAGGTGTGATTTTAGGTCTTTTTCAATGCTCCGGCAGTGGATGAAGGTGACTCTGATTATGCCACGATCATCCACGTACAAGGCGTCGCTTGATGCGACATGGTTGTCGGAAATCATGGTGAGTTCCTTTGCTCAACAAAGATGGCTTTGACTACTTGAATTGGAAGATGTTTGATGGCACGATTAGGTGTGAAGGCAAGTTTGCGATGGCTAGTTTCAGCCCGGTTATCCGTTGACTTTCTATGCTTATTATATTCTTTTCAGGTCAATTAGTTTTGTGGCTCTGTACAAACTTGTTTTTAGTTTTATGACCCTATCTCTTTTGTTTTTACATATGGGAGATTTACTTTTACACGTAAGAAATCTGTCTTTTACACCTAAGAGATCTAAAAAGATCATTTTCTTAAATTGTAAAGTAGCATGACTTATAAATAACACATTCTCTTTTCTCTTATGTAGCAGTTGATTAGTTCTAATTGCAATGGAAAGTGATTTTTGGATTTTTCTCCTGCGAAATGATTACTTGCAGGAAGTCAAATGAAATCATGTAGCTTCAAAACTATTGTACCTACAAAAGTATATGACTTACTTGTGGTGCGCTCCAACTCAACATCATGGAGGTTTGCAACAAAACGATTTTTTATTTGTCTAAAATTGTAAATGCTGAACTCTTTGGTTAATGCTTGACATGGGCATCATTACTCCTACATCAGGAGAAAAGAGAGGAAGGAAAAGTAAAGAGACAAATGAAGGTTGAATAGTACTCCACTAAACAGCAATTCAACAAATCCATTCTTCAATTCAGCAATTTTTCATCCGATAAGCAATAGTAATCCTTTATATGCATATGATTCAAAAAAACACTTCTTACATGATAAAAAAATACTATAAACAAATCACTGGCCAGAGCTCTCAATCTTGAATACACGAGCACAACTATAGACTGAACAAAATGCTTGCAAACTCATCAACATCAACAGCATAATCGCAGCCAAGAATGTGAGAAACTTCCATGATTCAAACACATAGTATTTCATGCATTTCCCAAACTTCACCTTCCACCTTCCATTGTAAAACTTGTTAACATCTTCAATCACTTTATCCAAAACTGGCACCTTTGTTAACTTCACTGATTTACTCATCGAATTCCACAAATTCGCGACTTCATCATCACTCTTCAAACGGTTCAATACAATCCCTCTTTCTCTAAGTAATGTTACATCTTCTGCCGTATCAATTATCCCATTCATTAATTCAGTGTAACGAGTAAAAACCAATGGTCCTGATGCATTACACGCTTCGTAAGCTACTAAATTTCTTAAAATAACTTCCGTGTTTACATCTAGATTGACAGTAGGTAAATGTAATGCCATCTTTTTACTGTCGTAACTTATGCTTGTGATTCCTCCATTGGTGGCTACAATACTTACCCCTGCTTTAGAAAGTTCACTTACTGAGGGGATGGCTATTTCCTCCACTAGAGGTGGATTATTAGAATTTTCATTTTCAGGATTTTCTTGTGGTTTCTCTTGTGAGAAGCATAGATATTTCATGGGCAAAATTAGGATTTTTAGCCCAGGAATATTAGAGAGAAGTGTCCAGGGCAGCTTGAACATGACTTTCATAGGTTTGGAAAATACTATTCTTTTAAGAAGATGTACCGGGCCTCTGTTTAATTTAACAAGTATCTTCCAAACTTCATTTAGAAATTGTTTCATGTGACTTGATTTTCCAAAGGAATTCTTTCCTCCTTGATTCGCATTGCATTGTTCCTGATCATGATCTTCTGTTATTTCATTAGTTCCTAATTCCAATTTAGGCACGATCGTTTGGTACAAAAAGTCTAGCAAATGAGCAGATTCTGTGACTTTAACCTCTGGGAAAATTTCCACCATTTTGAAAGGAGAAAGTTCCTTACAAAGTCCCACTAGCATAGATACCAGCATGTCGTCTGCTAATTCTAAAGATGAGAATTGGAGTTCCAAAATTTTCCTCAACACGAATAATGGTATTTGATTTTCAAGCATTGCTAAATCTCTAAGTATGGCATTGTGTGCTGATTTTCTCCCAGAAGCATCAACTAAGTGTGACATCCTCGAGAAAGAAACTGTAGTTAGAACCTTACCTTCTTTAGCAGCATAGATGTGAAGAAACTCGAGCAAAAAAGAGGCGTCCACAGCCATCATCCAGGCCAAAGTTTCCCCATTGAAATTTAAGAACTTATGGTAACAGGCACGAATTCTAGACTCCAATTTTATCAGATGTTCGACAAGATTTTGGAATTTTAGATTTTGGAGTTGTTTCTGAGTTCTCTTAGCCGCAGCAACTTTATACCTGTTGATAACATAATCAAGTAAATAAAAATATTCATTCTATAAGAATTTAAACTTTTAAATGAGAAAGTCATACAATTAAATATGATATCAGAGCATATGTTAAATTTGACTCTTAACACTACTTATTGTTTTTAGATGATATGATCACATAATTCGATAATACCTTTCCATCTCGTAGAGTTCTGGACGCCAATAATGGTAAGGACCTAATGCCGCTTCTTGGGGCACGTAAGAGTCCGGGTCGCTAACCATTAGGGTTTTGGGGACGTTGAAAATGCTAACTGGGACTTCAGTGATTTCTTCAAGTTCTTCATCAAGTGTTCGACGGATTTGAATAATCCATCGACTCTCATCAAAGTTTGGGGCCATGACTCGGAGTGGAAAAGAGGACATGGTTTAATTTCTCTGTTTTAGAATAGAGAATGGCAGTTTTGATTTATTGAATGGTGGAGTTAAGAGAAATATGGAGCTTTAATTTATGAGTGTTAGGATAATAATTAAGTTGTTTATATAGTGCAATTTCACCCAACCTTAATAGAGTAAGATAGAATAAAGTGGTCGTTTGGTCCCAGCAAAAGGAATTAAGCTTGTGTTTTCCATGTTTTTAATGAAACTTTCATGAGCTTAGATAATATAAACAAATTCCACTCTCTTTCGTTCAGTTCTCACGCCTTCCTCCTGTTGTGTAGTGGTTAACCTGGTCTTTAGCTCATATTTAAACATTAAAAATGCCATATAGAATGTGAGATGGCACTATTTCTGTCTTTTATGTATGATGGAACCATTAACTTAAGCTAGGATTCTTTTTCTCCTTTTAGTTTTTTCTCTAATTCTTTTTTACTTGGCTGGGATTTACATTGTATTTTGGCCAACTTCTCAATTAGGCTGATTCTTGAGCCTAATCTTTTGCCCTTCATCCAAAAGCAACAGCGCAGCAGAGACCAATTTTTTTACTAATTGTTTTTAGGTTTTTAGTTGCTTTGCACCTTTGCGTAGCGTTTAATGAACTTTACCATCAGTAACTTTGAATAGACTAATCAGGAAATACTTCAGCTGAATCACATTTTTTTTGCTTGAACAGTTAACCACCATCTTCTTGGGAGAGCTTATGAGTGATCATATAGATGTTGACCTGTCTAATTCTCAATTTAACTAAAATTTGATTTCTAGTGCAGATTCATTTAACCAAGGCTTTGGTAAGATAGATGCAGTACAAGGATTGAAAGGTATAGTAGTAAATGATGCTTCTCTCATATGACATAAGATTATCACTACCATTTATTAGTTGTTGACTTTTAAAAGAAGAAAAAAATGAAACAAAAATGAGAGAAGTGCTTCATACGGATAAATACAATGCAAATACTAGCCTCTGAAAGCATGGATACAAAATTACTAAGAAGAAAATCTAACAAGGCCCAAGTTATATCTTTCATGACCCAAATCAACCATAAAAATAGCACGGGCTAGCCAGTTTTCGGATTGATAATTGAAAAATAGGCAGCGTTTGCAAAGTTATTGAAAAATAGCTACTATTTTGCTGCAACACGAAAAGTTACAGTATAATATACTGGAGATTGATGCACCTGTGTATGAACTTCTAGCATATTATGCTGGAACTTCAGCACACGGAAAGGTCCATCATAATATACCGGAGATTGAAGCACATGTGTATGAACTTCCAGCATATTATGCTAATGCTGCTCGGTGGGCCGGGCCTGAACCGGACCGGACCGGGCCCGCGGTCCTAACGGGCCTGGTGGGCC